ATACTTCATACATTCCATGTTCTGATTATTAATGGATGTTTGCAGCTATTTTTCCTCAATTTGAGTCATGCCACGTCACCAAATGGAGGTCCTGAAAGCTTTACTTTATCCATGTAATTAAGGTTGGTTCTACTGTGATGAGGCAGCTCTTTCCTAGTCGTATTTTGAGTGACTTCTTAACTAAGGGGCTAGTTTTCCAACACTGTGTCAGACAATGTTTCCAAGCTACTCATAAAGTTGCACAGTAATGTATCAGACAGTGTTTCTCCGCTATTCATAAGGTTTCCCCTGGCCAATTTGAGAAGTGGATGGCCTCCTCCTTCTTCCTAGTCTGTCTGTCTGTAAGCTGCTGCGTTGAAACCTGTGTACCATGTGCAACCCTGCTGGCATTTGAAACATTGGTGGCATATCCTCAAGCCTCACAGCAAAGTGCAAGCCAACATAGGATGACAAACTAACAGACAAGTGTGTCTTCCCTTAGCTGTTGGAAACCTCTCCACCCTCTTCTTACCTAATTCCTACTTGGATCCTGTCAGTGAGTCCTGCTCACCACCCCTTACCTGGCTCCTGCCACTTTTTGTCACCCCTGGCGTTCCCTCCCTTTCCTGCCTCTGGGGGTGGGTCCTGCCTGCTGCTAAGTCTCTAGAAAGAGAAAACACCACGTGGCGCCATGTTTTGATTTTTTCTCAATGAGAGGAGACTCCAGGACCTCCTTTCCCTCCCAGCAAGTTAGTGCGTCAAGACTGCACCGTCACAGATCTGGAGACACCAGTATTGTGAGAAACAAAATCTGATGAAATGAGTTATCTGAGACGGGGAGGGCTGACTGAACTCACAACATCAGCTCGGCATGCCACTCCTTGTCCTCCTCCTTGGTGTGATTTAACACGGTGACAATTTGGGACAGGCTGGGGATGAGATGGCGGCGGTACCCAGTCTTGAGAAATGGTCTCACCATTCGCCAGTAGAGGACTGAGGCGTTATAAACCAGGAAGTAATACCTACAAGGCAAGAGGTGGAAAGGAGGCCAGCTGCAGGGCGCCACCCTTAGGCTCCTGTTGCCTCACAGCCCCTCCCGGGAGGGAGTTCCCCTCCTCTCTGCTCTAGCAGGTGGCAGCACCAGCTGGCGCCCCGGCTCCACAGCTCCTGGTGGCTCCAGCTCTGCCCCTGCCAGCCTCGGTGGCCCCAGGACAAGAGCCTCCTCTCTCCCTCAGTCATCCCACAAAGTAATAGACAGGAGTTGTTGTTGTTGTTGTTATTTGCCGTCGAGTCGGCCCCGACTCATAGCGACCCCTCCTTGGGTTTCCGAGGCAGTATCACTACGGAAGTAGGATTGCCCAACCTTCCTTCCGAGGAGTGGCTGGTGGGTTTGAACCGCCAGCCGTCTGGTTAGCAGTCAAGTGCCTTAGGCACTATGCTACCAGAGCTCCTTAGACAGGAGTAGGATCCCTGAAAATATGCCAGTGAGGTCGCCTTCTTTGCCCCCCAGGGGCTCGCAGTTAGCGAAGTATAGACAAGCACAGTGTGGGGGGTGTCACAGATGGTTTCCAGAGAGGTCACATCTCTGCTGTGACCTGAGAGATGACCAGGCTTCAGCCTGGGGCTGGGTCAGGGAGAGGAGCAGGTGATGGAGGAGGGAGAGCAGGACGTAGGGGGGCACAGTTGTCCCCTATGCCTGGGAAAAAGTGCCAAGTGTGTGTGGGGGGTACTGGAGAAGAGACACAAGGGGCCACCTCCCAGCAGTATGGGCTCCCCCAGGGCAGTGGGAGCCACTGAAGGGTCCCAGCCAGGGAGTGCCCCCTTGTAGGGACCTGCAGGTGTTCTGCCGGCCACTATGTGGACAGCTGCTGCCCACTGCCCAGGAAGGAAGACCCCAATCAAGCCCTCGCAGTGCAGCTCCATTCAGAGTTGCGGGGTAACTGGAACAGAGTTAGCTTTAATCCAGCATTTCCATGGGAGGAAGGGGCACAGGCACTGTGACCAGTGCCAGCACTGACCATCTGTCCAGACTCCAAAGAAAACAGACTCCAACCAACCATGCAATGCTGTGGGACAGAGAGCCCGCAGCTCGAAGGGGACTTCACAGCAACGTGGCTCAACTTCCACCCGGGACAGAGATGAGCGTGCGGTCACAGGACCAATAAAACCACACAAACGAGAATAAGAGGAGAACCCTGCAGCCCAAGCAAGTAGACCGTGCTTTGCAAATCCTGGTTCTCAAGTTTCTATCGACCCCACTGGGCAGAGTCCAGTTGATGAGACCTACCTGGGTTCGCCTTTGGCAAAGTTTATAGCCTTCATGTACTGAGTCACGCAGTTCTCGAACTCTACCTGCAACAGCATCAGGCATCCAGGTCACACCGACTCCAGGGGACCCAGCAACAAGCAGCAGCGAGGCCAGCCTGGTGCCCCCAGGGCACAGGCAGTGGGTTCCTGGAGCCTCTGCCCAGCTGATGGCTGTGGAAATGGATCTGGCATCTAACTTTCTGTGGCTAAAAAATATCCTGAGCTGTCTAAACTCCAAAAACACAAACTCACTGCCACTGAGTCGATTCCGACTCAGCGACCCTTGTTGGGTGTCTGAGGCAGCAAATCTTTGCTGAGGTACATTGCCCATCTTTCGCCCATGGAGCTGCTGGTAGGTTTGAACCACCAACCTTCTGATTGGCAGTCAAATCCTTAGGCACTGTGCCACCAGAGCTCCTTCTGGGCTGTCTAGCCCTCCACAGGTTTGGAAATCAGGTAGAAATGTAACATTCTCCAGGGGAATTTTATGGAGAGTCAAGGCGGTGCCAGGAAGAAGAGTTCATAGGACAATGAGGCAACTGTTTTATGGTGAACCAGTGAAGCCTGGCACTGCAGTCATGACGAACAGGGGTACCTAGGTAGGGCTCCCTAACCCAGTGCCCTTGGGCAGTAAGACCAGGCGCCCTCCACCAGCACCAGGGGGAGTCGGCCTCACCAGGTTCTCAGAAGATCCTGGGGCACACAGCTGGGCTCGGCACAGGTGCGCGCGGCCCAGAAACTGGGTGACGGGGCCCTTGACCTTGAAATACATCTGGATGCAGTCCTCACTCAAGTCCGGCCTCCCCATCTAGAAGAAAAATCTGTCTCAGTGCCCAGACCCTGGCTCTATGAGGCCACCCTGGGGCGACCAGGAGTAGCCTGGACCCTGGCTCCGCCAGGCCACCCTGGGACATCCAGCAGTGCCCAACCCCAGCTCCACCAGGCCACCCTGGGGCGACCAGCCGTGCCCGACCCCGGCTCTGTGAGGCCACCCCCGGGGCGACCAGCCGTGCCCCAGGCCCAAGGCCAGCCAGCTCAGCAGTGCCTCCCTCTGGGTCTGTGACCCCGGGTCACTGGACCTGGGACCTGCGCCCACCCTGAGCGCCTGCTCTGCACACAGGACGAACAGGTCCGGGCTGAAGCTCTCCGAGGGGTCGAACTCGGACTTCCCCAGGTTGGCCGACTTGATCAGCTCATAAGCTCTCTGCAGTGAGGCAACGTCTGTGGAGACAGTTGGTGGGGGGGGGGGGGGGGGGGGTCGCCAGGCTGTGCAGGATCCGGCAACCTCGCCTCCAGGGACTCAGGGGCCCCTCCAGCCGCGGGGTCTCCGGGCGTGCGAGGGAAGCTTGCACCCCTTCTCAGCGCCACCCTCGCCCCTCAGGCCCCGCAGCGCTGGGGATGGCGGCGCCCACGGCGCCCTGAGGCTGCGGGGACCCTCTTCCAGGAAGCCGACGGGGGCGGGGGTCGCGGCGGACCCAGGCGCCCACCTTGCTGGCTCTCGGCGTGGGCCAGCTGCTGCGTGATGACCAGGTCCATGGCGCTGGGGCTCTCGGTTCGGGGTCCCCAGCGCAACCGCCACCTGCCGTTGCTCCGCGTCCTAGTCCCTGGGACTGCGGTTGCCTAGCGACGGGAGGGACGCGGCGCCACCTATGGGTTGGCGCGAGCTGTGCGTGCGGAGGAGGGGCGGGAGGGGCGGGACGGGCGAGGCCAGCGCTGGAGTGGGGGGTGGGGAGCAGCAGGGAGCGGGGCTGGGAACGGCTTGCAGGGCGAAGGCACGGAGCAGCAGCGGTGGACAGACTGCCACAGGAGCCAGATCTACGGCCCAGTCTCGGTGGTGGGTAGATGGGGGTCCCGGAAGGTGGGGGACCGCGGACAACATAGGTGGTGAGGGGCCATCCAGTCACCGGGATGGACAGGACCAAGCTGGGCAGAGGGCCCCAGGGACAGGGCTGCTGCCTGTGAGGTCTTGGCAGCAGATGTGTGGGAGGGTCTGAGTGTCAGTCTGTTGTACTGTGGTGGCTTGTGTGCGGCCGGTCACCCCTGGTGGACAGGTTTCAGGGGAGCTGCCAGGGTAAGACAGATAAGTCTAAAAATTAGCCAGTGGACCACAACGCAAGGGGGTCCAACCCGCCCACTTGGCACGTGTGATCAAGAGGACACTGTACAATTGGGGGTCAGCCAGGAAGTGGGAGGTCCCCTGGGAGATGGACTGGGTATAAGATTCAGCCATGGACTCAAATTTGGCAGCGTGAAGCAGCGTGAAGGCCGCGTTTTATTCTGTTGTGGCTGGGGTGGTCAGGATAGCTTCGTTGTCCAGCATACACACACGTGCACACACACACACCATGTGTATATATGTGTATGTATATAATGTGTCTATGTGTGTGTATATATATATATAGGAGCTCTGGTAGCATAGTGCCTAAGGCAACTGAGTGCTAACCAGAAGGCTGGCGGTTCAAACCCAGCAGCCACTCCTCGGAAGGAAGATGAGGCAATCTACTTCCGTAGTGATACTGCCTCGGAAATCCAAGAAGGGGTCGCTATGAGTTGGGTCCGACTTGACAGCACATAACAACAACAACAATACACACACACACACACACACACGCAGGAGCTCTGGTAGTGTATAGTACCTAAGGCACTAGACTGCTAATGAGAATCCTGGCAGTTCAAACCCACCAGCCACTCCTCGGAAGGAAGATTGGGCAATCTATTTCTGTAGTGATACCGCCTCGGAAATCCAAGGAGGTGTTGCTATGAGTCGGATCCGACTCCACAGCAGTGTGTTTGGTTTTGATTTATACACACACACGCATATGTATATATAAATTTTTGCCCAGATGTAAGTTTGAGACGCAGTCTTCATATTTTTCTCGAGTGCTACGGCAGTGTACAGGTTTGACTACAGAAAGCTCAGACCCCTTTCAAATGCACCATCGATTCATTTTCACAGTGGGTTCTGAAATGCGTCTTTGTTTATTCATAAAGAGGTGTGGCACCATGTGCCCAGCTGATATGAAATATTTATCCCAGCCAAGCAAGTCTCTCACCAACATTACAGGGCAAGAGGGGTCCACGTTCTGAGTGTTAGCTATTGAAGCCTGCTTTTCCTGTGTGTGCTGAGCGGGCTGCACGGTTATTGCTTGCTCTGTAATCTTTCACTTTGCAAAGACGGGCCCAGTCAGGCCCAGCCCGCTGCTCGCCTTGCCGGAGACTCAAGGCTGGGAGTCGTGGCGGGCATTCATTCCCCCGGAAAGTGTTTCTCTCCCTAAAGCTCCACCAGGTCCTTGAGAATGGCCAGATGTCTGCCCACCAGAGACACACATGAGATCTCAAGGAAACCACAGCCTAAGGGACACTGGAGGCGCTGGTGGGTCAGTGGTAGAGTTTCACCTTCCAGTGCAAAACCCGGGTCGATTCCCAGCGAGGGCACAGCCGCTGCCTGTCTGCCAGAGGGAGCTGCATGGTGCTGGGATGCCGAACGGGTCGCCGCGGAGCTCCCAGGTGGAGCAGCAGCTCTGCTGGTACCGTGGTTACCGCATTTGGCTGCTAACCAAAAGGCTGGTAGTGGGTTGCTTCGAACCGACCAGCCACTCTCTAGGCGAAAGATGAGGCAGTCTGCTTCGGTAAAGATTGACAGCCTTGGAAACCCTGTGGGGCAGTCCTCTGTCCTCTAGGGGTGCTGTGGGTCAGAGTCCACTCAACAGCAGTTGGTGGGTCCCAGACTAAGACGGCCTGCAAAGAGAGGCCTTGGTGATGTACTCCCAAAGATCCCAACGGCCCAGTCCAATGGTGGCGATGGTGCCGGACTGGACAGTGTCTTGTTCTGTTGTGAGAGAATGAGTGTGAGCATGAGTACAAGTGAGAGTCAGCATGTGTGTATCAGTGTGTATATGTGTGCACGAGTGGGAGCATCATTGTGTGCATGTGTGTGAGTGTGTCACTGTGTGTGTGTGTGTTGATGAGTATCAGCATGTATGTGCATGAGTGTGAGCATCGGTGTGTGCGCATGTGTGAGTGTGTCAATATGAGTGTCAGTGTGTGTCAGTATGTGTGCATGAGTGTGAACATTGTGTGCATGTGTCAGTGTGTATGTGTCAATGTGTGTCAGCATGTGTGTGCGCACAAGTGTGAGCATCAGTGCATGTGAATGTGTCAATATGAGTGTCAGTGTGTGTGTCATCATGTGTGCATGCACGAGTGTAAGCATTGGGTGTGTGCACATGTGTGCACACCCGTCTGAGCATCGGTGTGTATGTGCATGTGAGTGTGTGTGTCAATATGTGTGGGGGTGTGTCAGTGTGTGTGTGCGTGAGTGGGAGCATCGGTCTGTGTGTGACTGTGTCAGTGGGTGTGTGAGTGGTAGGAAAATGAGTGTGAGTGCTCACGTGGCCCTGGAGCAGAGAGCCCTTGGCTTAGCCCAGCTTTTTGGGATGGAGACCACTGGCAGTCAAGGTGCAGCCCGTGGACCAGGTCCTCTGGAGAGAGCACCTCGGTGGTCTGGGCGGGAGTAGGGGGATCAGAACTCTCAGGCGACCCTCTATAGGCACCTTCCTCGGGGGGCCCAGGTCCATGCAGTTCCCAGGATGGCCTCTCAAGAGCAGTGTCCCCCAGAGAAAGGGGCTGGGAGGGGCTCAGGGGAAGGTGGAAAGGGTAGAGGGTGGGACACTGGGGAGGCCTTGGAGTGGCCCCACAGCCTCTTACCACAGCTCCCTGCAGCCTCAGGCCCCAGGCTGAACTTAGATTACAGAGAGTGAAGATCTTAGGATCAGCTTGTGCCCAATACTGTGAGGGACACACTGCTTCTAAGACATTACACCTCGAGCTTGAAATCCACAGTGGCCAGGCTTCCGTGTCTCGGGTTGCGGAGTCTACAGCCCTTCCTCAGACACCCCTGTCCATGCCTGAGGCAGCCTCCTGCACCCTAGGCTTTTCTGGTTTGCTGCACCCACTCGCTAGGAAATGCTTCCTGAAGACCAAGCCCAGGCCTTTCGTTTCAGGTGCACACCCCATGCCTGGCACTGTTGGCCTTTGGGGCTGATAGTGCTCTGCTGGGGTCCCAGGCATTCCAGGGTATGGAGCAACTTGCCTGGACTCTGCCCAGTAGAGGCCAGCAATACTGCCCCCGACCCCCAACCCCTGACCCCCATCCCCGACCCCCAGGTGAAATCAAAATTGCTTCCAGACTGTTTTGTGTCCCCTGGAGGGCAAAATAGGAGTCCGCGGGCATCCCAGATGGTCCAGCGCTCAGCTAATCACAAGGTTGGTGGTTGGAGTCCACCCAGAGGCACCTTGCCAGTTAGCTGACCTGCTTTTGGGAAATGAACCACTGGGGGCCTGCAGAGCCCAGGGCTACGCACACACGGGCATTGCCGGGCATCGGGACTGATGGGTGGCAGCTGGTTTGTGCTGGAATTTTGGAAGATAAAATAGCCTCCCTCAGTGGCAAAGCACTGCCCCCTGTCTTCCACATACTTGGAGTGGCGTGTCCACAGCTGTATGTGAGTCTGTGTACGGACTCGCTGGAGTGAAGGTTCTGGTCAGTTAACTTTTATAAACATGGCTGAACGTCCCTCCATGGAGCACGGACCTGTCCACACCTCCAGCAGCAATGAACGAGCCTGGCTGTCCCTTCACACTCAGTCCTTACAGGGTTTCAGCAGCCTCACTGTCTGGCCAATCTGATGAGAAAATTGGTTCTCCATCACCAAGGTAGCTCACTTTTGTGTAGTATGAGTTCATAGATTGCAACTTGTTATTAACGGCTTGTCTCAGGAAAACACCAAGCGGGCCGGCGGGGGTGGCTTTAACAAACAGCACTCCGTTTTCTCGCGGCTCAGGAGGCCAGAAGGCCCAGTTCATGGCGCTGGCTCTGGGGCAGGGCTTTCTCTCCCTGTTGCCTCTGAGGAAGGTCCTTGTCTCTGAGCTCATGCTCCTGGGCCGTTGTCATGTGGCCTGACGTCTCTCTCCCTCGTTTCTGTTCCATTTAGTCTCTTTCATCTCTCCAAGGAGATTCTCTGAGGTTTCAGCCCGTAGCCACCCTGCCTAACTCACAGAACACTTGGCAAGTAGGGATGTGGCCTCAGGCACAGAGCTCCAGGTTTACAGCTCGCTGTTAGCTGCAGCCCTGGTCACCAGACCCCTTATCCTCTGGTCATCAGACCCCTTATCAAGATCTTCTCGGTCTGTTGCCAGTTGCAGACTGATTGGCTGAGCACGTCACATGTTAAGGAAATCGCCACTTTGTCACATCAGCTTCAAACATTATCCCCATTTTGTTCTTGGTTTCTTGACTTGGCCTGTTTTCCATTTGTCTGGGGGATGGTCTTTGCTTTTCATCTCATGTGGTTGAATTTCTTAGGCTGCCTCTGTGTCCCCACCCAGGGTCGTTGCTGGCTGCCGTGGAGCCGAGTCAACTCGGGACGAGCCCTCGTTGCAGAGTGCAAATGCTCCAGAGGGTTTTCCAGGCTGTGACCCTTCGGAAACGGTCGCCGAGTCTTTCCTGTGAGGCCTCTCTGGGTGGGTTCCAACTG